CTCGCTGTCTACACCCGTTTGTGTGCCATTTTCTCCATTGCTATACCAGGTGGGTTCTAATCTAAAATTGTCTATGCCATGAATGATGAATGTTTATTTTCTTATGGGTGTGATCTAAGTATGAATATGAATTATGTAGCCTATCGATGTGAGCTGTTACGGCCGTCGGTACGGTTGTCCCCGTCGATGTAATACGGTTGCCCTTGTGAGGCAAGTCTCCTTAAGTCCTGATATGGTCGTGCCCTTGCGAGGTACGTAAGCCCATATGGAAGGCCGTGTCCGTAGCGTGGCATGTACTCCTGCCTTCGGGTAATGAATCCCTGTTCTGCGGCTAGAGATAGATGTGCACAGGAGTAATGTGGTTGTTGTGATTTTGATAGGAGATGAGACATGATGTGATTATCTTATATTCATGCTGCGACCATACCATTTGACACATGTTATTTATGTGCAAAGTAGTGAGCACTACTTTTATCTTGTGCTCACTCCCACCTGCTCTTCACGGATGCAGGTTAAGCAGGTGCCGGATGACGGGGAAAAGACGAGTGGGTTGGTCATGATTATGATGCTTATGTTTCCGCTTCCTTTATGAATAAAGTATGGTCTTTAAGACATGTTGAACCGTTTTCAAAAATAGTCCGTGTCGAGATTTTGGACCCTTTGTTTGATATTCGTATGAGAGTTATTTATGGAATATCATGTGTTTCGATTATGCATGCTATGTGGTTTAGCTAATAATCATGTGGAGTTGAATTTAAAAAGGTTAATAGAAAACCATGAGGACAACCAGATATGACTTGGTTGATGTTTAATGTTGTATAACGCCCATGATTTCGAAAATGAGTTCGAAAATTTTATACTGATTTTTGGAAAGTCCGGAATTTCTTTAAAATCAAAGTGGGGTGTTACACAAACGAAGCAAGTAACATGGCCATCAAATACTAATCTTTGTGAGAATTTGCGGTTGACTTTTCAACAGTGTCACCATCCTCGTCACCGACAGGTTCAGTACCCGCACCTCCATCCTCCCCGACCGGCTCAGTACCAGCACCCTCAACTCCCTTGACCTGCTTTGTGCCTGGACGCTCAGCCTCGATCTCTTCGTCTAGAGGCTCCTCCTCCTCCTCGTCATCCGCACCACTGGGCCCGATCAAGTCAACTGGACCAGTCAAAGGGGAGGGAGGAACCTCAAGCTGCGCCGCCCAGCTTTGCCCTTCGAATCGCCCGAGCCTCAAGTCCCGACCACCATTGATAGTCGTCGGGAAGTGATGCGTCGCCATGGTAGCCGTCTGGAAGAGGAAGGGACTCTTTGAGCGCCTGGCGGTCGACCTTTCCCTCAAGAGCAGTGCCCTTTGTGGCCGCCTCCCACGCATCAAACGTGAAGTGGAAATACTGGAGGGTGGCAGGACACAACTTCTCAAGGAAGTCGGGGGAGTTACAGAACGCCCCGACGACCTCTTTCCGGTAGGCGTCGAGGAAGATGGAGCCCATTGGCGACTTCAGGAAAGACTTGCGTCCTTCCTCCTTCCCAAGCTCCCTCTCGGCCATATTGTCCTCGGTGGCCTTGGCAAGGTCAGCGCGCAACCGGTGGACTTTGGAGAGGGCGGCGGCCTTCTCAGACTTGAGCTTCGCGATGAGGGCGTTGGCCGCCGCAAGGTCGTCATTCTTCTACTCGAGTTCATGGAGCTGTTCCGCGCACTTCTTCTTATAAGCATGAATATTGGAGTTAGGCGAGCTAGACTCCTCGAGAAGAGTGGGCATTACATACGCCATGAACTGAAAGGAAAGTCCAGAAAAATCAGTAAGAGAAAGACGAGACAAAAACGAGGATAAGAAAAATACACTAAGGGAAAAGTCGAGAACACTCACTCGAGAGAAGCACAGGAGAGCACGGCAAGAACGGTCGTAAGGGTCGCGGTCGACACGAGCTTTGTCGGTGGCAGGAATGACAGAATCAAGGTATTTGGCGATTTCGTGAGGATGGGGATGATCCCAGAGTCGGGAAAGCCTCTCAAGGGTCACCGTCTCGATAGCACCAGGAGAGCGAGGAGCCTCAACTGATTTCCCTTTATCTTGGCCTTTCTGGCGCTTGAGCGAATCGGGGACTAGCACAAAGCCGACCTCGTCTTGGGCCCTCTTATGGGACTTTGAGCCCGGGGCTTTGTGAAGCGGGGCGGCAGACGGAAGAATCACCTTTGACTTTTTTGCGGCAGTCGTCTCGACTACCGCTTTCTTCGATCCAGAACTGAGGCTGTCGTTAGCCCTTGCTGGGAGAGAAGCTTATTTGGCAGACTTTTCTCCACCTTTCGTCTTCTTGGTTTTGAATCGCTGAAGAGCTTTATCTGGAACACAGGGAAATAACTGGTTAAGGAAAACAACCATAACAAATTACGAGTATGATATAAAAGGAGCTAAGAGAATACTCAAACACATGGGCTTACGAGGATCATTGATGCGAGGAGCGTCCTCGTCAACCCAGAGGCCCACATGGTTAAGAAGACCATGATACTTAACCAACAAACGGGCAATCCATTTGGACTTATTTAAGTCGTCCAACATATCTTGGAACTGGCTCGACTTAGGATGAGGGGTTTCCTGCTGAACCTTCGATGTAAGCCAGATGTTGGAAAAAGGATATTTGCCGGGAGCAGGACAGATATAAAAGAACTTGGTTTTCCACTCGGTGACATTTGAGGAAAGGTCGTCGAGGAAGGAAACGCCAGGTCGACGACCCAAACAATGGGCGTCCTTTATAAAACGATAGCTATAACAGTACAAAAGGAACTCGGGAAAAAAGTGACCAAGCTTTATTCGGGAGACTATGATAAAGGCCACCATGATGCGAATAACATTAGGAGAAAACTGATTTATGAGTACATTGTACATATTACTAATCGACAATAGTTCGGGTTGAATGGGAAATCGCAAGCCAAACATTATCTGGTCGACGAAAAATGTGAAGCAGCCCTTGGGAGGATGGGTGAAGACGTCATTGGGGCCTGGGGCGACCAACTCCCAGTCAGAAGGCAAACCACTGAACGACCTAAAACCCTCGATTTGGGCTCCAAAAGCATAAGAAAATGGATTTAGAACAGTTAATCTAACTACGGGACAAGCTATGGTTACATCTCGAGATACAGAGAAAGGAGCTGATATTGACAAAGGAATGGGACTCGTCCTATACACATGAATATCTAATAGCCCAAGAGGAATACCTCGAGGAAAGGAGGTTAGTCGAGGGGAGTCTCTACCTCGAGTAGGGTCGTCCTTATTTTGCATTATTTCGCCGGATAGGAGGGCTTGAGTATATACATCTTTGTCGATCCCAAAGGCCGAAGCAGATAAGCCTTGGGACCCTTCTTGCTTGACCGCAGGCGTAGAGTCAATTATTTCGACGGAACCAGAACCAGAGTACTCCTCTATGTGACGGATGAGAGAGCCGGGCATGGAACCAGAGATAGAGTCGGACTCGGAATCTACGAAAAAAAAAAGTCAAGAAGTGAAGGTCAGTACAAGAAAAACCGAAGCGCTAGGACGCGTCAACTTGTGAAGGTTCCTAACCATAAAATCGACCTCGGAAGAAAGCAATTGGGTCAAAAGGATAGTGAGCGAGAAAGGGCCTGAGCCTAACTTGAACCCATCAGAAGGCGGTAATCGGAAGTAAGAGGATGAGGGAGAAGAGGAAGCACTAAAGTCAGCATTAGTCGACAAGAAAATAGGTTAAAGTCGACTAATGCAAAGGGCGTAAAGTCGACTAAAGTCGACTCAATCGCAAACATGACTCCACAACGGAAAGTGCACATTAAAGATCTGACATCAATATTCCCAGAATTGTTCGGGAATCTTCAAGAACATGATGAACACGCATGAATCCCAAACCCAAAATTCCAGGTAATCAACAAAAAAGAAGAAGAAAAGAATTATGGGAGTAGAAAAACTTACACATATTGACTGGTGTAAGAAGATCTGAAGGCGCCGGAGAAGTAGCCGGAAGGATGGGCACGCCGAAATCGCTGGGTGTTTTATTGCCGAAAAAAAAGAGAAAGCACGAGAATCCCTGAGTGCGAAAAGTGTGGATGGAAGGAAGAAGAGAATACTTATAGAGGAAACTACGGAACCCTGGCCGTTGGATTAAAGTAAAAACCAACGGCTCAGATGCGACACAGAATTTGAAGCGGCAAAGGAAAAGATAAGGCGGCGTATCAGGTCCCAATTCGAAAGTTTGAAATTCAAAATAATGATAGTGGATGAGCTCGGGAAAAATTCTTAAGTAATAAAAATTGAACCACAAGCGCCCTAGTCGAATCACGTGAATCATCGACATGACGATTTGAGAATAAAAATGAGACGACTCATCGACAGAAGAAAAAAGGCCTAACTACCAAATTTACTCTTAAGCTCGAAGTCGCTTAGAGTAATTTTTTGGGGGGGGGGACTAGATGATATAGCCCAGTTATCATAACCCGGTTCAGGCGTTGATTACTCGACTCGACAGACGTTGCCAAGGATATTGTCGAGATGATATCTCCAAAGTCGACATGGCCTAGCGGTCATATGAGGATCACCACCGGTCTAGGGACGATCCAAGGACAACTTTAGAAAGTCGACTTTGGATAAGTCGACTTACGCGCTAGAAGGTGAATAAGCATTCAGAGAGCCTCGGATATACAAACGTGACCATAGGTCGACTCAGTGAGGCTCCGAATCGACTTATAGAACCTCTGACGACTCACATTTACCTCAATACGGTAGCAAGGCCTCCTTAGTTAGGGAATCTGTATGAGATAAGAAGGAATCTAGGTGCTGACTCAGGGAGTGGGCAGAATGCGAACTGACCAGGGTATTTTGGACACTTCGTGTAAGTCGGCCAGGGAATTTCAGGTATTTCTAGTGAGCATTTCTACCCTTATATAAAGGAGTAGAGGTGACTCCAAACCCTAACTTTCACTCTCTCTATTCATTATTCAGCTGCTGCTCCTACTAAGCAGAGCTCATCTTCTTCTCTCTCACTGACTTGAGCGTCGGAGGCTCTTCACTGGAAAACACTTCCGGTGTTGAGTTCTTGCAGGTGTTCGCGGTGGCTCACGGACGACTTGGAGACGATTCAAACAGACCGCAGCTCATTTCCACCGGTTCACTCTAGATCTAGGAGGAGACCCATCAGAGAGGATACGCAACAGGCTTGAATTTCAAATTTCAAACTAGGGGGCGATGGGATGAAGTAACCAGAAAGGTTTATTACTAACTGACAAAGCAGAATGTGTAAGTTCAAATTTTCAAATTCAAGACTTTAGGAAATCGGGCATATGGTTTTTGACTTCAGTCTCGGTTTTCGACTTTAATGGTGGATCACTCGACTTCGACCTCAGTGGTCATTCAATTTGCGGCCTCCGACCTCAGGGTCATTCGATGTTTGACCTTAACAGCAGATCATTCAGTTTTCAACCTGAACGGTCTCTTGATTCTCGATTCTGGGCTTTCGACCTCAACGGTCTCTCGATTCTCGGTTCTGGGCTTTCGACCTCAACGGTCTCTCGATTCTCGATTCTGGGCTTTCGACCTCAGCGGTCTCTCGATTACTCGGTTTTCGGCTTTCAACCTCAGCGGTCTCTCGATTACTCGGTTTTCAGCTTTCGACCTCAGCGGTCTCTCAATTACTCGATTTTCGGTTTTCGACCTCAACAACGGTCTCTTGACTCTCGGTTTTCGGTTTTCGACCTCAACGGTCTCTTGAATCTCGGCTTTCAATCTCATCGACGATTACTCAATTTTTAGTTTTCGACCTCAGTGGTCTCTCAATTCTCGGTTTTCAACCCCAGTGGTCTATCGGTTCTTGGTTTTCAACCTCAACTGTCATTCGGTTCTTGGCTTCAGTTTTTGACCTCGGTTGTCATTCGGCTTTTGGCTTTTGGTTTTTCGACCTCGGTCGAAGGTTCTTCAATTATTTATCTTTGTGGATGGTCATTCAATTTTTGACCCATTACAGTCTCTCGGTGCTCATGGGGGAAGTTTTATGACTAGTTGGTGATCGAGAACTTATTCAAATTATAACCTCAAAGGCAGGTTGACGAAAACGACTCGAAGAGACATTTCAGTCTTGGATCGAGTCATGCTTACTCGACCAGAGTGGAGGGGGGGGGGGACTAGATGATATAGCCACGGCTAGTACTGCCGGTTCGACCGGTAGCATCTTATATAGCATGTCATACCCGATCGGTTTTTTATGGATATATCTATAGTAATATAAAGAGGTTGTTGGAAAAATACAAAAATAGTATGTTTGACTTAAAAAATAATGCTTTGACTTACTAATTTAAGTAATAATTACTACTTTAAGTAACAATCATAGAGGTCCCACACGTTAAATTAATTAACATAAAATTAAGGAATAACATAAATCACCTAATCAATCTTTCCATCCATCCTTGCATTTCGAATTTTGTTACACTATTTTTTCGGATTTTGTGGGATTTATTCTTTCATAAATTTCATAATTAATGTAAATATCCGATGATAATTAAATCACGAAAATATTGGAATCCATCCTTGCAATTATAATATTGTTAAAAAAAGGTTCACGCATGAAGTGGGATTTTATTTTTTCACACCTTTCATAATTGTTACAAAATTCGTTAACAAATTAATACGAATTTATAGGAATTATTTTGTTCACAAATCTTCAATTTTCCTATTTCTTTGGACAAATCCAAAACTATAATCTTTACTTTTTTTGAAACGTGTAAATTTTTCGAGGATAACTTCTATAAAACTAAAAATCTAATTGATTTTTATGCGTCAATATTCCAAATCAAACATTACCAATATGATTATTTTTCTATTAATACTTTATTTTTTTAAACGTTTCAAATTTTATCAAATATGATATGGTATGTTTGTTTTCCTTTTTTTTTTCAAAACCACAACTCAAATTTTCGAGAGAGAGAAAAAAAAAGGAAACAAAATCTTACCAAACTTTATCAAATTTTCGATAAGAAAAGAAGAAAAAAAATTGGAAACGAAATCTTATCAAACCTTATCAATACTGAAAATACGTGTTTCCATGAAAAACTAACAAAATTCTGTGGTTACCAAAAATTTGTATCTTTATATTGTTGTATGCACAAAACATCAAACCTATTGTTGCAAAGGCAGACATACCCGACCCTGTGTGTATTGAATATTATAATTCGTCTTATATTTAATCTATACATGATATTAGTGTTTTTTTTTTTATGTAAAATTACATTCGAT